TTTTTTTGAGAGAGAGAATGAGAGAGAGAGAGCACATGAGAGGGGGGAGGGTCAGAGGGAGAAGCAGACCCCCCGCTGAGCAGGGAGCCCGATGCGGGACTCGATCCCGGGACTCCAGGATCATGACCTGAGCCGAAGGCAGTTGCTTAACCAACTGAGCCACCCAGGCGCCCCATGATATAGTTCCTTCTTGTCATTTGCTCTCACCTCTCCTTGCTCACGCAGGTTAACTTACCTCTCCCTTGGATCTCTCTTTCCCATGAAGTCTCCTGGTAAATCAGTGTTTCTTCCCACTTCTTCAGTCTTTCACAGTCCAACAGCAGCACATGACCAAGGGCAGTCTTGGTATCAAAAATCTTCAATGGATCTTTTTACTCAATCTGTCATAACCTAATTTTTAAGGGAAAGGTTCACCCTATTGGGGAACAATTCTCCCTGAGCCTCTCAATTTTTTTTCATATATTGTATCAGCTTCTGTTCTGGACTAGCTTGCAAAGGTTTTTGTGTAACAGCCTCTGAGGATGGCAATGCTGTCTTTCTTGGGGGAAAGGGCAGATTAACTACCTGACCAATGTACTAGACCGATGTACAGAGGCAAATGTTGGGCAGGTGCATTTATGATTTACTTGAAAAGACTGGCTTTTCTGAAGCTTAGTGTTCTTCAGCTGTGACACGAACCTACTGTATGTGCAGCATCCACCTGGATCTCTTTGCATGGCCTCCATGAGGCTTGTGGAAGCACAGGGAAGAGATGTGAACCAGAAACTCTTGCTGCCTGTTGTTCATGAATAACTATGCCTTTTGTCTCTGTCCCTGGACTCTCATGTCTTCTCCCAGCATCCATGCAACTAGCAGGCTAACTTACTGGTTTGCAAATGGAGTAACATCTTACACCCTTTACCTTTCTTGACAGTCTTGGCAGGGAGGATGGGATAGCCATTGAACCCTACAGGCACTGGCCTTTGGGAGTTGCCATAGTAGCAGAGAGAGAAGCTAAGTTAATGTGGTCCTTAGGGCCTCCCTCAGTCTGTATGGAGTGATATAAGAGAATTCCACAGGCTGGGTAGCTTATACCCAAGTTCATATGTCACAGTTTTGGAGGATGAAAATCTGAGATCAGGGTGCCAGTGTGGTCGGCGAGGCCCTTCCTGTGGGTTGCAGCCTTCTGGGATCTTCACAAGGTGGGAGGAGCGAGGGAGCTCTCAGGCCTCTTAGTAAAGGGCCCCAATCCCATTCATGGGGCAGAGCCTCCCAATCACTTCCCAAAGGCCCCACATCCAAATGTCATCGCCTTGGGAGTTAGGTCTCACTGTATGAAATTTGAGGGGACACAAAGAGGCCATAGCCGGACCCTTTGGGAAAAGTTCAACACCAGTTGTTTCTACATCACAATGTAATAGGCATTGTGGTGCTACAGGCTTGTGCTTCCCATCCCAGAAGTGCCAGAGGGGAGTTTCCCAGTCAGGGTGAGGTGTAGGTAGAGAAGTGTTACTGGGACACAGGGCCTTTCATTTGCCACCAGTGGGGTGGGGGGTGATTGAGGGGAGTAAGGATTTAGGTCAACCTCTGATATACCAGGTTCTCAGAACGTACGTGATATTCTGTCCGTTGGCAAGTTAGAGGCCTGAGTCTCAGTTGCCCTGTCTCAGGGGCTATCACCTCTCTGCCAGTAGGGGTGGCTGATATAACCTGACCAAATTCAGAGTCCTGTTTCCCAGTGACAATTCACTGGAACTCTATGGCAAGGTGCACAGTGCTCATTCCCTCCAACAGTGAAGGAAAACCCTGGTCTCTTTGGCTTCCCATCATTTAAAAGGGGGTCCAGCCCCTACTGGACTCCTGGCATATGGGAGATGACACAAGTCTCTGTTAGGGATGAGTCTGTCCTTTGGAGCCTTTGGCAAAGGGAGGAAGCCTCCACCTGGAAACCCCACTTGGTGTATGGATTTGGGACCTCCTGACACAACTAACAGGCGTGCCCTTTTAAAATAGCAGTGATTGGGGCGCCTGGGTGGCTCAGTCGTTAAGCGTCTGCCTTCGGCTCAGGTCATGATCCCAGGGTCCTGGGATCGAGCCCCACATCGGGCTCCCTGCTTGGCGGGAAGCCTGCTTCTCCCTCTCCCACCTCCCCTGCTTGTGTTCCCTCTCTCACCGTGTCTCTCTCTGTCAAATAAATAAATAAAATCTTTAAAAAATAAAATAAAATAAAATAGCAGTGATTAAAACCCAAACTAAATGAAGTTTTTTACAAAAGAGCGATGAGCTTATTAGGGAGCTCTCCTCAAAACTGACCCTTAGATGTGTTGTGAGTGTGATGAGGGACCAGAAGGCAAGCTGAGAACAAAGCACAAGCTGACACCCCGCAAATTGAACCCTACAGGCACTGGCCTTTGGGAGTTGCCATAGTAACAGAGAGACGCTAAGTTAATGTGGTCCTTGGGGCCTCCCTCAGTCTGCGTGGAGTGGTATAAGAGAATCCCACAGGCTGGGTAGCTTATACCCAAATTCATATCTCAGACTCACCCTACCCCGCTGGTGGCACATGAAAGGCCCTGTGTCCCAGTAACACTTCTCTACCTGCACCTCACCCTGACTGGGACAACCCTTGCTGTCCTAAAGCTAAGGGAAGGAAAAACAAATGGTTAATTATAGAGATTATAGTCCTGCAAGACGTGAGTCTCCCTCAGTTTACAAATGTCTTAGAGATTTACAAGAAAAAAGCATTCTTACCAATAACCTAACTTCCAGAAGGAAGTGTCTTAATATTAATGCTTTGCTAGAGGGAAAAACCACCTTGACTTGACAATGGCAAGTCCTCCAATATCTTGTAGGTCCTCTTTAGCGTATGAAATTTCTTTTGAAAATCTCCCTTTTCTTTACCTCCCCCAACTCCCAAGTATATAATAGCCACCCCTCACAGTCCAGGTGCAGCAGCACTTTCTGCCCATGGGTCCTGTCCCCACGCTTTAATAAAATCACCTTTTTGCATCAAAGATGTCTCAAGAATTTTTTCTTGGCCATCGGCTCCTGACCTCACCAACATTCAAAAACTACATCAGCTCTCTGGCCTGATATTCCAGTTTTGGAATGAGTCAACACGGACTCGACTGTAACAGGGTAGGAAGGGCCCCAAAAGTCCCGTGTCCCATAGAAAGTGCATATTCAAGAATGAAGGCTGATTCTTTCCAGCAGCATCTCAGCTTGACAGGAATAAGTGGTACCTATCCCTTCACAGGAAATTTTAAGCTCCACATTGTAGCCAAAGCCACTGGTCCTAGGAACCCTCATGCATGGCCCTGATCACTGATGGTTTAGGTGTCCCCTGGGCCACTGGGTCTGGTTAGTCTCATGCCACCTCTGCAGAACCGAAATCAGAGGCAGGTCCTTCCTTCATTGTCACATCTCAGAAACCTGGGCTGCTGCCAAGGGTCCAGCTGTTCAGTATGTTATTTGGAAAACTATGGACCTGCAGATTAAGGACCCCCTCCATCCACTCACTGCCTTGTTGGGCTATGTACTGTGGAAACCAATTGCAGTGCTGAAATACTTGTCTGGGTCACTCATTTAGATGCCTATGGTAAGGGTCTGTTCTTCACAGAGACTGACCAGAATCAAGCTGCTGATTGAGCCTGTTTCTGACGCAAGAGGTATCTCTGCATGGCACACTTGTGACACCCCCCCCCAGCATTATTGAGGTATATTTGAGAAATAAAATCGTATGACACTTAAAATGCACCCTTAGCTATGAATACCCATAGTCTCAGTGAGCTGGTAGGGTGGTGGGGAGATCTTGGGCACATGGAGGTCAAGGATTGAAATATACAACACCCCCACCGTTCCCTTTTTACAGGAAGCAGCAGTTTCCTAAGTGGAGTGGTGAGGGGTGTTTGGAAAAGAAACTTGGGTTGTTCAGATGTGTCCAGGAGTCCTAGCTCAGCCTTGCCCTTCAAGAGGTGCAACGAAGGGGGAAGAATCATCCCAGGCCTTCCCTTCCCCATCCCCAACTCCCTCTGTTAAGGTGGTCCTCAGAGGTGGGTGGGGGACTTTGATGAGTGAGGCTTGGAACAGAGATTAGTCAGAGGCAACAGTGCTCCCACTGTGTGAGGAGACCGACTCCGACGCATGGTCACAGTGCCAGCCCTAGGGATGGATTTTCGGAGACAGAGACAGACGGACACGCGGGGTTGTGATGGTGGTGGTTGTAGGTGGTTCTGGGGGCTGGAGGACCAAGGCTGAAGAGAAGCAGTGAAGGGGAGACATTTATGCAGAGATCTGAGCATTAAATAGGAACTGCTCTCCAAGTAAAGGGATGGTTTGGATAAATGCTGTTTGACGTGAAAAAGCATGATGTCGTGAGAGGGCACGAATTTTCCAGGACCGCTGACGTGTAAAACCGGGAGTGGAAGATGTGCCTAAACCCGGTTTAGGAACCAGACCCACAAGGGCCTTGAATATCAGCCCGAGGGTTTTGAGTTTCATCCAGAGTAAGGCAAGTCACCACCCTTCTTTGGGCCTCCGCATAATAAGGCAAAAACCAAGGCTCACTCCCGTCTCCTCCCTCACAAAGTTGCCGCTAAAAGCCCACCAGCCACCAGGACACGAGCAGGAGCCAAAACTTGCAGGCTGTCTGGGTACCCCCCCCACATGACGTCATGCAATCCTAGCAACGCATGCGCAGAAGCTTTGTGCCGGACTCGCCAGAGGGCAGGTTTTGCCTCCTTTGAATCCCTCCGTTTATTGGCTAGGAACAACTGCTCGTCTCGCTCGTTGTCAGCGGCGACGTAGGCGGGTACAATCTTGGTCTCTAAGATACCGCGTACTTCCGTTTCCTTCCCCTCTCCGAAGTACTGAGGCAGCCTGACCGCAATGCCTTCGACCAATGGCAAATGGGCAGTGGGCGGGGCCTCGCTTGTCTGGACCAACGAAATGCGGGTTTGGCCCGGCGTAGCGCGGCCAATGACCGTGGGGCAGCCCCTGTAAAGTGGCTCGGGCGCCCCCACGCTCGTCTTTCGCCCTCTTTCCAGCCCTACCCCTCCCTGCCCCTTTTTCAGCACGGCGCCGGCCGCAGCCTGACAGGGACGGGACGGAGCCAAGATGGCGGCCGCCGACGGCGACGACTCGCTGTACCCCATCGCGGTGTTGATAGACGAGCTTCGCAACGAGGATGTTCAGGTCCGGAGGCCCCGGGGGTCTTGGGGAATACGGGAAGGGGTAATGGGGGCGCGGACGGCCCTCGCGGAGAAGGCTCAGTGTTCGCTGGGAGTGGCGGAAGGGGGCGGCGGCCAATCAGCGCCCAGCTCTCACGTCTCCAGGACCCCAGGCTGGATGAGGCGGCGCACGGGATTGGGTATTAGCCCACCGGAGGGCGGGAGGCAGGCCACCCTGGAGGGGTCCCGGGCCTGCCAAGGTGCGCGCGGCGGCCCGGGTCCACGGAAGCCGCGACCGGGGAAGGGGTCGGGCCACTGGGTGGGGCAGGGGGAAGGGCTCGGTGATTGGCGGCTGCCGCTGAATGGCCCCTTGGGGACGGGGGCACGCGGCTTGCTCCGAGTGGGGGAGGGGCCCGGGCAGGTTTTCTCCTTACTCTGCTCCGGCGGCTGGGCCCCCGCACTGTGGGGTGAACTTCCTAAATGAGGACCGAGAGATGACAGCTCCCTTCCCCAGTTCCTGCTCTCCCTTCCTCTTCGGTTTCCGTGTAGATTCCCGAAGGGGAGGGGCGGCGAAATCACTCCGTTCCCAAGGGGGCAACTAGCCAAATCGAAACGCGGATTTAGGTAGAAATTCTCCCCCCTTCTGGGATCCTGCCGAGCCGCGGGTGGGCGGTTTACTCAACAGGCTAACACGTTTCTGGGGAGCGGGACGGGGGCCCGGCTGAGCCGCGCTGGCGAATGGTTGAGAAGGCTAAGGACTCCAGGGTTTGTCCATCCCAGCTCCACCTCCCACCCGCCGTGTGACCTTGTGCAAATTACTTCGCGGCTCTGGGCCCGTTTTCCCTGAAATGTGGGCTAATAATAGTTTAGGCCTCCCTGGGTGGTTGTGATGGACTAGATGAGTTAAGACTACGAGTAAAATAGAACGGTGCCTCGTTGTTATATAAAGGCCCAGTAAATGTTAGCGGCAGTTATTGGGAGGAGTGATTGAAGAGCTCCCATTCCACTTATAGGGGCCTCAATTTTTGTTTATGAAATTGAGCGGACGTCACTGGGCGCAGCCTCTGAAGTTCGAGGTACATCACTGGTTGTGGAGTCAGACAGACTCCTGGCGCTTCTACTTCTTCCTAATTGACATGGGCAAGTTGGGTAATCTCCTTAGTCCTTGGCTTTCCTCTTCTCTCAAATGGAGGTAATTATCTAGTTCATAGGGCTCTTGTGTGAATTCGTTTGTTCAGTAAACACTTGCCACCTATCAGTTAGGGCCCTGAGGACGTAATGGTGACACCAGTTGGTATTCAGGAGGCACCAGCTGTGAAACAGCTGAATACATTATGAACAGGTGCGAGATGTGGGAAGACAACAACAGGGTATTGTGATGGTGAATCAGTATTGGGCCTCAGCTCTGAGTAGGGCATTATTTTAGGCACAGGTATACAACAGGGAACCAAAACTAGTGGCCTCATGGAGCTTTATGTCGCAGTGCGGGGAAACTGACGATGAGACAATTAAGTTAAAATGTACACTATGTAAGATGGCGATAAGTGCTTTGGAGAAAAATGAAGCAGGGATGTGGAGGACAGGAAAGTGTTACAAGTTTAGATAGAATGGCTAGGGAAGGCCTTATTGCGAAGGGGACATTTGAGCAGAGATGTGAACCTGAGGAGCAGGCCCTCATAGATATCTGGGGAATAGCATTCCAGGTAAAGGAAGCGAGTGCAAAGGTCCTGAGGCAGCAATATGCAATGCATGTTCTGTGAACTGCAGGAAGCCAGTGTGACTGGAGCCAAGAGAATGAGTCGTTGGTGTTGGGAGATGAAAATGAAAGGGGCTATGACTCAGAAGGATCTTGTGAGCAGTCACTTAAACCAGGTGTTGCCAGATCATTGAGCACGATTCAAGAAGGAGTTCTTGAGATGTTTTACAGTGCAACTTGACAAGTTTATTTAGTAGCATGGGGGTAGAAGGAGCTGTACTTCTGCTGTATGAAGCCAGTGGTTATATGCTTAGTGCTCAAGGGGCAGGGGACGTGCAGGGAGTATTAGATCATAAATGTTTTCTTTGGATTTCTACTCGTAAAACTACTTTCACAAGGTTTCTCTGGTGCTTATCATTTAGCTTGGTATTAACTCTTGGTGAGATGTATAGGCAGTCATGAGACCCTTTAAGAACGTAGCAAACAGCTCCTATTTGCTCCTTACTGAAACTATGCAGGCTATACGTCAGCCTTCTGGGCTAAAGGTGAACATTTTCCTGCTTCTTTCCCTCATCACAGGGATTGGCAAATGGCCAGGGGTGGCCCTTTGCGTTTTTATTTTTAAATAAATTATTATTTGAAAACACAGACCCTTTCATTTACATACTATCCAGGGCTGCTTTTGTGACACAACGGCAGGGTAGAATTGAGTAGTTGCAACAGAGACCGTTTGGCCCCTTAAAGCCTATAATATTTCCTACCTAGTTCTTTACAGTAAAGAGAATGCCAGCCTTTGACTTAAGCCACCTCTGTATTAAATCCCATCCTCTCTTCCCCACCCTGCCCACCTCCCTGCCCCCAAAGTGGCCCATGTTATCAGGTCCTTACAAACCTTGGTAGACATGTGCTGTTCAGTGTGGTGGCCACTTTGTGGCTGTTGAACACATGAGATGTGGCTAGATTGAGTTGAGATGTACTTGTAAATAACATACATACCAGATTTCAAAGACGTGCTATGGAGAGTGTTAAACATCTCAGTGAAGCTTTTCATCTTGATTACCCGTTGAAATGATAAAAATTTGGGGTTGAATAAAATACATTAAGATTAATTTTGTATGCGTATTACTTTTTTAAAATGTTACCAGAAAATATAAACTTACATGTATGGCTTGCGTTTATTGTCTGCATTTTCTTTCTTTTTTTTTTTGTCTGCATTTTTTTTCTATTGGGTTTTTATTTTTTTAAACACTAAATATTTTGTTCTACAACTTGCACTTTTCACTTAGTATTTCTTCCGTATCTTTTCATGCAGGTACATACAGATCTGTGTTTAAAAGGAGTTTGAACATTTTCCCAAGAATCAGAGACCAAATCTCAGAGATTGCATCTGTGCCCATGTGTGTGGGCTTTCTGAGGACAGGGCTTGGCTCTGATTCATCTCTTAGGATTCAGTGGCTCAGTACAGGCCTCAGAATTGAGGAGCTCAGAAAGGGTTGAATAAAAATAACAGCTGGTATCTCTTGGGTGCTTGCTCTAAGCTAACTGCTACAAAGGGCAGTACATTTACGAGCTTCCTGAATTCTCAGCCACCCTCTGAAGTAGGTCCTGTGCATACCTACGTTTTCCTGATGAGGAAATGAAGCACAGCATAGTATGTAACTTGGCCAAATTCATGCAGCTGAGAAGTGGAGGACCCAGGAAAGGTTCCCAAAGGAAGTGTAAGACCTGAGGAGAGAAGAGAATTTCGGGTGGACAGAGACTTGCTGACCATATCCATATGCCAGGTATTTTAATTGGCCTTTAATGAGACAGTCTAGGATACTAGGAAGAACATGGGTTTTGGAATCCTCTAGTCTTGATTGATTTGCTCAGCAAATACATGTTCAGCACCTCCTATGCACCAGACTGTTTTAAATGCTAGAATATGGCAGGGAGTAAAACAGCAAAGCTGCTGCCTTCATGGAGCTTACGGTCTAGTAGAGGAGGCAGGCAGTGGATCAGGAGTGTGATGTCAGTGGCAGTAATTGCTTACTAGAAGAATAAGGCAGGCGGGCGCCTGGGTGGCTCAGTCGGTTGGGCGTCTGCCTTCGGCTCAGGTCATGATCCTGGAGTCCCTGGATCGAGTCCCGCATCGGGCTCCCTGCTTGGCAGGGAGTCTGCTTCATCCTCTGACCCTATCCCCTCTCATGTGTTCTCTCTCTCTCATTCTCTCTCTCAAATAAATAAATAAAATCTTTAAAAAAAAAAAAAAGAATAAGGCAGGCATCAGGGTCTAGAGCAAGCCCAGGGCTGCTGGTTTTTTGTTTGTTTGTTTAATTTTATTTATTTATTTTTAAAGGTTTTATTTATTTGAGGGAGAGGGAGAAGCAGACTCCCCACTGAGCCCGATGTGGGGCTCAATCCCAGGACTTGTAGATCATGACCTGAGGGAAAGTCAGCTGCTTAACCAGCTGAGACCCCCAGGCGCCCCCCAGGGCTGCTTTTTAGATAGGGTAGTGAGGGAAGGTGATAGTGGAGGAAGTGAGGATCTCTGAGGAAGTGATAGTGAGCAAGGACTTGAAGAAATGAGGGAGAATGAATGGGGGGGGCAGTCCAAACAGTTGGTACAAAGACCCTGAGGTGGGAGCATGCTCATTGTGTTAGAGAAGAGCAAGCAGGCCAGCGTGGCTAAAGCAGAAAGAATGGCAAAGTGGTGAGAGGTGAGGACTAGTCCAGAATGAGATAAGTGAAGGCCCGTGGACCAGAGCGAGGGCTTCTCTGAGTTTCAGGAGCTGTTGCAAGGATTTGCGTGGAAGAATGACGTGTTCTGACTTAATTCTAAAGGATCCTCCCGGCTGTTGAGTAGGGGCCGGGCAGGAGCAGATAGACCTATTGGGGTGTCCTTTCAGAGCACCCAGGACTGGTGTTGGCATGGATGTAGTGAGAAGAGGTTAGATTCTGGGTATGTTGAGAGGAGGGCTGTTGGGGTTTGCTGGTGGATAGGATGTAATGTGTTGGGTGGTGAAGGGGGAGTCAGGGGTGACTGAGCTTTGAATCCCAGCTCTGCCAGTTTGTTCCCTGTGTGTGCTTGGACCAATTCCTTTTCTTCATTGGGCCGGGATTCCTCAACTGTAGAGCGGGACTAATGATGAGGAAGCAGCATCTGCTGTGGAGGTTGTGAAGATGCAGTGGAATCGGCAAATTAAGTGGCTGCCTAGAAGTAAGCATTCAGTAAGTGACGACGTTGTTCAGTTGTTGTGGTAGCTTATTGTTTTATACTTGGGAAAATGATGTGCAAAGAGATCGCGTCCCTTAGCTAAGGCCTCCCCAGTCAGTAGGAGGCAGAGGCT